CATCTCACACCCGTCAATACCGTCTGATGTGATGGTGTCAATATTGCAATATTGATTTGAAAGGGCAACAAGTTTGTTGAAAAAAAAAAAACCTAAAAAGGTACTGTCTGTGTGTTGTATTTTCAATTACGGTGATTTTGAGTGAATTTTTCTTTTCGCCTTAATCAAAGAGACACTTCTCACCTAAAAACCTGAACATTTTGTACATGCGAATGGCCGTATGGATATTTGGACCATTTTGAAGTGAGGTTCAGTTGAAAGGTTATAAACAATTAATATCCTTTGTAGCTTTTGGCACGACTTGAGTGGGGATGAGATTGATGAGTTCAGACTTAGACTCAGCTTTATTGTCATTCATTCAACCTTTATTTATACAGGTTAGTCTCATTGAGCCTTGAGGACTCATTTACAAGAGAGACCTGTTTTTAACAAAGAACACATGAGATACAGACAATAGACAGTCATATAAGAAGCACTTAAAATGAAAAAAGTAAATAAAAGAAATTATATAAAAATGAAATTGTCATTCAAGACATGGTGTGGTACAAAGTTACCCAGGACTGTGTTTAAAATGAGATAATATTCATTAAAAAATACCATAAAGTCACAATAATTAGATGAATATTGTACAACCTACACAGGAACAATAAATAGGAGCTAAAAATTAAAAAGGGGATCAGCTGTATAATAAAGTGCAGCAGCCAGCATTCATAGAGTCACACTTCTAAAGTGCTCATTGTTCAGTAATCAGTATTTGGGGTGCAGAGCAGTTCAGGAATTTGACTGCATCTGGATAGAAGCTGTTTTCAGTCTGGAGGTTTTGGCAGCGCAGCCTCCTTCTGGAGAACAATCTGTGTGCAGGGCAGGTGCACGGAGGATGCAGGTGACTACTATCCTGCACCTGGTGGTGTAAATGTCCCTGATGGTAGGTACGCTGCAACCGATGGTCTTCTGAGTGGACGTTACCACCCTCTGCAGCACTTCCTTCTCTGACTGCCACAGTGCAGCACAGAGGTTCCCAACCCTGTTCCTTGAGGAACACCATCCTGTGTGTTTTAGTTGTTTCCCTGCTTCGACACACCTGATTTGAATGGATGGGTGATTAACAGGCTTCTGCAGAACTTCAAGTGATTAAATCACTGAGGCAGGCGTGTTGGAGCAGGAAACAACTAAAACATGCAGAATGGTGTTCCTCAAGGACCAGGGTTGGGAACCTCTGCATAAAGGAAGAGGTTAGGAGCTAATGGCTGCCGCTGGTCTAAACAAAGCCAAGACCAAAAAGTATTGTCCTAAAACAGCTCCATTGTCTCCAAATGTCAAAGTGGTACACATGAATGCAATTTAAACACCTTTCCTCTGCTGTCAGTTATTTACATAGTATTTTATATTTGCAAGTGCAAATAACAGCAACAACAGCAATATTTTATATTTCTGTTGCAGTCTGGGGTCAATTTTGGCAGGAATTAATTACAACATAAATATAAGAATATATTTTTTGTAAAACAGTGAAATATATATAGTAAGTGTATCACCAATGGTGCTTCAGTAAATTTTCATTCATTCAACCTTTATTTAGACAAACAAGTCACATTGAGCCTAGAAGACTCATTTACAAGTGAGATCTGTTTAGACAGACAAAAAGTAGTGAAACTGGACATGTTAGATCAAACAAAACCCAATTCTTAAACTTCCTCACACAACAATCTTGAAAACTTGAATCTATTAAATATATATGATTGTGGTGGGGTGAAAGGTCACAGTGATGTTGTCCATGATATAAATGGACAAACAGTAGCCTAATGGTAAATATAGCACTTTTCTATCTTATAAATATACTTAAAGTGCTTTACAACAATCTGTGCCCTCACTGACCCATTCATACAGCACTCTACAAAACTAATCTGAATCTGTAGAAAATCAGTTTTAGGTCACATTCATACACTGATGGGACACACATCAGAGGCAACGAGGGGTTCAGTGTCTTATCCTCTTGCTCAAGGACACGACATGTGACTGCTAGTGGAATAGAACCCCCAACTCTCCCATTAAAGGACGACCCCTCTACTATGGGTGCACTGATAAATTGGCCGGCTGATTTATCAGCCCCGATTTCCTTAATTTTGGGAGATGGACCGATACTTACATGAGAAACCTATTTGATCTATTTTTTTGTAGTTTTAACAATTGTCTGAACTTCATTTATATTTCAGAGCACTACCTCGTGGCCAGTTAAAACAAGTTTGTACAGTTTATATGATATTGTTCCAAGGGTATGTTTTTCAATAAAATAAGATGGAAAATTGAAGGTGCGTTAGAACACCGGACAGTGTCGCTTAGAAAACAAAATCGGAACCGGCAGGTCAGGCATTTTTAGAAATCGGTGATCAGCCAGAAAACTACAATCGGTGCACCCCTGCCTCTAACCACTCAGTCCCAGCTGCCCTAACCAGTACAATGAAAGAACATGTCAGAATATAAGTGCAGCTACCATCTGAATGTGAAGTACCACATATTTTTAATAAAAACAACATCCAATGTGTAGTCTGACATTTTGTGTCCTAAACATTCATGGAGTAACACCAGGGACAACTTACAGTGGACTGTCTGATGGACAGATGGGGACAAGCTAGGGGACAAAAGGGTTAGAGAGATGTGAAGCTTGAGGATAGACAAGGTTTGAACAAACAAACCTGTGTCCTTGACCCCACGACCTTGAAATCAATAGAGATCATTCATGTGTCCAAGGGTCATCAGTTTAGAGCTCGGACAAGAAATTGTCCACAGACAGAAGGATGGATTTCACACACGAGTCAAGATTGTATTCAGTGATAATTTAATCTTACATTCGTCAAATAAAATGAACTTTCATTTGTCCGCACATCCTCTCACACAAACGTGTTGCAGTGAGTCTAATGCCAACTGATTCACCCCGTGGAAACTTCAGATACGACACAAAGAAAACACAGACAGCGACGAGCTCTAACAGCAGGGAGAAACACGAAGCGCTCTACCGTCCGACACGCGAGTCTCAGAGTCTTTGTCTTTATCGGCTGGTACCGTCATCTCGTGGGTTTACACCATCACCAGGCGTGGAGGTGTTCCGTCGAGGATGTGGTCTGCTGTCTTCAGGGCTCCTCAGTCCTCGAGGAGGAGGAACTACCACAGAGCCTTCGTCATGGAGGTGATGGGACTCGGTGCATAGCTGAAGGCTCTTCACAAACCAGATTCTGTCATTTCATTGGGCAGATAAAAACACATGATCACATCTGTCAATGTGACTACAGCTCAAACAGACGTGGGCTCTTTCAGCAAACATCATCGTTCCCTTCTACATTTTTGAGATACATTCAAATCACAAGTTCGGTTTTAAAAACAGAAGTCGACGTCGGCGCAAAAATGACAAAAAAATATATCTTTATTTCCATATGGTCAAGATTTCATTTGGGTTTATGTCAACGTCTTGATTTCTTAAACGCCACGCTGTCATTTCATTCAGTGACAATAAATCTATCATCAGACAAATATCCAGAGGCTGCTCCTCTGTAAAGTGTTTCCATCACGCCTGCTTCTACTGCAGATATGTGCCGTGATTGGTCAAAGTCTGCTTAATGACTCGCACCAACACAAAAACACGAGCTTTAAAAACTAACTGGGTGATTTAAGGACCGAAACTGAAAATAAATGGCAAACCAAAGAACCTAAAAGACTAACATTGTCCAATGTAATCCTATTTAATCTTTGCCATCTAAGATCCAGCAACATTTTAAATTAATGTAAAAAAAAAAAAAAAGTCAACTTTATTGTATTTCTTTATCATTACCTTCCTGTAGCTGGTGATGTCAGAGCTCCTTCAGCCGTACAAACACACATTGCTTCTGATAAATCCTTTTATAGAAATTATTGCATGAATGGCAATAAACAATAAAAGCTAACTATGCTTTAGATGGGCTTCTTGAAAATGATGCTTCCCTTTAAAACGCTGCACTAAAGAACCAAGAGAGTCGACGTATCTATTCACCGGAGCAGAAACTGGAGAATCAGTTGGCAAAATCAATGGCTTGAACTCCAAAAGTCTTTTGTCCATGTTGCACGACGCACACACGTCTACACGAAAAGCTCTCAAACACTCTCTCCTGTCAGCACGCTTCCATGTGCACCTTCTCAACCAAAAAAATAAAGAAGAATAGAAAAAAAACAAAAACATATTCACTCAAAAGAATGGCAGCACTCGTTTTAAGTTAGCGTTCACTCATGCATACAGTGGGATGTTGGGTCAGCTGCACACCAGGAGCGTTGGCCTCTGGATTCTCAGAGAGGAACTGGATTTTGCATAAAGTGTTTTTGATCTCCTCACTCCACCATGATAAAGCTTCTTCTTGTTTTTTTTTTTGTCGTAGTGGGGTGACAGATTCCAGAGGTACGATTTAATGCTGCCTAAACACTGACAAGTCCCAAGATTAAGAGTTCCCAAAAGGTGAAGTCTCCTGTATCTGTAAGAGAAGGAAGAAAAGGCAGGACAGCTGAACGTTTGGAAACAACACAAACGCATGTTTTTGTTAAATTTAGAGCTAAAAGCTGTCCACTTGTTCTGTACCTGGTTACACGAGACTAGTGCTAGACTGTCTTGAAGACGGTTAGCTACAATATCCACAGAGCTGTGGGAAAGTCCGTTCTGGTCTTGCTGCAGCTGGTGTGGGCTTCCCTCTGGGACTGTGTCGCTGCTGTCACTGTGGAAGTGGTTGTTGTTGCTGTTTGGGCACTTGCTCTTCGCTGGTGACGCGAAGGGGTTGTAGTCTCCTTCCAGGCTCCGATGAGGCTGCGTGTTGAACTCGGCTTGGAAAGACGAAAGCTGCTGCGTGACGCCGAGCAGGCCTCCCACCTCCACGCTCAGGATCACCCAAATGACATCTGCCAAAATAAATCAAGTCCTTTCTTAAACAAAGCCACAAACCCGTTTCTACAGAAAGAAAGCTTGTGTGCGAGTGTTACTGTTCGAATACAGTATTAATCAGCAGCCACACTGTCAGACAAGTGGACTATCCATCACTTATTTTACAGGTATTTTATGAATTTTCACTTGTTGGGACATTAATCACCAAAATAAATGGCTCTTATTTTAACAGGTTGTACTGAGGGTAATGCAGACTAAACTTCCGATCAATTTGTCTTGATTAAGCAACATGTTAAGTATTGTAGGTGGTCATACAGTAAATCAACGGCAGATAGAACCTTTAGATAATTAGTGAGACAAACATGACAACATTAATGCCATAAAGCTGCTTTCCCAAACTATTCTGAAGGGAGATAAATTATGAGAAATATCTTTGCTATGCTTGAAAGCACAAATGTTAGTGTCTGAATAGGGCTGAGTACCGAACCGAGGTTCTTAAATGGCACCCACCGAATTGCACCGGTCGGTGTATGAATTGAAACGTCTCTTTTTTCGGTGTCAAGTTTTGCTATTGGCTGTAAGATGTCACGTGGTTTCAGCACGCAGGCAGGTAAAACACCAGACATATGACAAACAGACTACGTGCTTACACCCAGAGCTGTATAGAGCTGCCGCACCTAATCTATGTATAATGTATGTCTATGGTGCTGGTGACGCCCACAGACGGGGTTCGCATGTGCAGCTCGTGTTGTTGAACGGCTTCAACAACACACGAGCAGAAAGTTGCTCCGTGTTTTTCTGCAAGAAGACAGATGGACAGCAGCCTCCACCCTCATCCTCTCAGCGTTAGTCAGTCTGTGTGTGTTAAACGGAATCAACATCTCCACGACCGGAGTCGTCTTCATCAAAGAACTCCCGAGGACGGAGCTGAGTCTGTGTTTCAGCTGGTGAGTTTACGTTTGTTAACGTTACTGCAGCTTAACATGTACATCGCGGTGAATTAAACTAGGATCCATGTAACGCTAACTTTAAGATACTAGTGTGTAAATTTATAATATCTACGTGGCTAGCTAAACTCAGAAGCTAACTAAAGATTGACAGTAACAGATGAAGCTTAGCTTGTCAAACTGCTCATCCATCCAGTCAGCTGCTTAAACAGTTCATCTAATGCTCACGGTTTATGTTAATGTTCTCCTCACAGGAGGTTCTGATCCAGATGTGAGGACAGAGACAGACAAAAGAAAAGTGATGTGTGTGTGTGTGTGTGTGGGGGGGGGGGGGGGGGTGGGGGGGGGAAGGCTGGGGGGGGGGTCACAGGACAATCACAGACTTTGTTGTTAAAAGTTTGTTGTCTTTTCTACAGTGGAGCTGCATGGTGTAGGTATATTAAGCTGTAAAGGATTTTGTTGACCAGTTCAGCTTTTATCTCTCAGCCTAGATAATGTTTTTTGATCAATAATAACACAACCACGTTATTGTTGATGTTTTGTTCTCATGTCAATTAGGGAGATGATAAGAGCACTAAACACCAGAGAACAACAGAGAAGATTCAGGCAGAGACACAGAGGTGTAGATGTCTGCATCAACCCTACCTCAGTGAATCTAGTGACCTGCTGGTGGGATGTGAGGGACAATATGTCAGTGCTGTCAAACTGACAACCAGGTATCTGTGTGTGCAACAAGCATCATCTACAGCCTCAGAGTGAACATGTTCTACTGCTGGAGACACCATCAGCCAGGAGTGGGCTTGTTTGTGTCCAGAGAAAACAGGCATGTTGATGTTTCTGAAGAAAAACTGTGAAGTGAAAAGGTCCTCAGTGTGTAGCAGTGAACATTAGACACTGACGTGTCACTGGTTGTTTGCAACTAGAAATTATTTGTTTATTTTAATGTAAGAAAACTGCTTGGAATAGAAATACCAAAGTTAAAAAATAAAACTCACAATATGTACTGTAATGTGTAACGTAATTTTATTCTTGTTAGAATTAATAGTAATTACAAAATTGGTACCGAAAAAAGAACCGTCCAGGAACCGACACCGACTTTTTTTTTAGAAAAGGTACCTATGTCCTATGTACCTATGTCTGAAGTTAGTCAACCCAATATAAACTCTGTGCTTTGTTTGGGACCAGCTAGGTTTAAAGTTGATCAAAAAGGTCAAACTTGTAAAGTTCCACAGTCTGAGTAAAATAAATCCATTATTATTACCTCCTTTTGGTTTCTGTACCACTGCAGTGGGAAAGCATACATTCTTTTGTTGTGCAAATTTTGCATTGCTTTTAAAAGCAAATTCTCATCAGAAGGGCTGCAGATCAATAACTTTATAATATTTTACATCTTAAATAGAACACTTGACTAATAATTGGGGATGGTACATTTCCCCCTGTAGATGGATGTTTGGCTCCAATATCCTATGTGTTGTTGAATGCACTCGATTAATGGATTTGCTGTTAAAGTGCATTAAAAGTAGTATCTCGCTGGGCTGCAGCTGTTGGAGACCAGTTAGTTTTCAGCGTTCATGAGGGAGTCTCTGAAATGTGAGATACTAATAAAAGCAGCAACCACTAAACAGGCAATGTATTTAAAAGTACCGTAACAAATCCTTAACATTAGTGTCTAAAACCTTCCGACGCAAAAGAAGAAAGACCAGGGTTTATGGTCAATGTGAGAAAGTTTAATTGGTCTCTTTAAACATGAACTCAGGGTTTGTGTCTGCTGTGTTGTGTATTCACAACTTGGACCAATTCAACATATAGCTTTGGAAAAAATATACCAAAAACAGAACTACTGACCATACATAGCTTGACGTCAGTCAGAAGTTTAGGTTTTGGGGAAAAAAGCTACAAATCAGTTTGCTGAATGCTTTTTTTTTTTTTTCATCTTTAGAAAATTCTACGTCTACTTTAGTAATGAAGCCTTAAGCTTTTTTATTTTTACACACGCAAAGAAGAAGTCAAGTTTTGACGATGTTTTCCAGAGGGGCTACATGTGGTTACAGCTACCCTCTTCTTGTCTTTTTCCAGCCAGGTACCTCGTATCAAGTCTGAACAATGTCTGAATGAGATCGTACAAGTAAAACAAGATTATTTGGAGAATTTATAGCAGGCAAAGCTGCATGCTGGCTATTACTTCATTCTATCTCTACTGTTTACTGGTTTATTGTTTCCCACTTTTTTGTTGATTTCTGCATAAAAGGTCATCTCTATAAACTATGCAATGTAGGTTTACTGTCTTTACCTCCATAGAAAAGTCCTGTAGCTGTGCACATTCTCCACTGGCCCTGGTACATGCCTGGAGCCACAGGGCTGTGCATCTGCACACTGACATCAGCCATTTCCTGAGGATCTAAAGCGCGCACCATCACCATGTTCACATGACCAAACTGATCTCCCCCCACGTACTTCAGAGAAACGCCAGGAGGCCACGACTCTGCGCCTGAAAAACACACATACCAATGTGTTGACCTAACGCAACATGCATGACTGGAATCATTTTCTATTGTAAGACCCAGAGTCTGCCTTCTACCGTGCACTTCACGTCACTGTTGCAGCTAGCTTACCCGTGTTCTGTATCCTCCAGGTCTTTGTGAACGTCGTGTCAGGCGGAACGGACTCACCCTCACCGATTGTGACGTCTTTTACAAAAGACATGCATGGTGCACTGATGTTGGGACTTTCAAAGTCGTAGTAAGCTCCAATGGCTGCCTGTAAATTCCTAAGATACAAAAAAAAGAGAGAAGAAAAGCACTAATTAAGATGATCAATACAGAGTCCAGCACAAATCAAATGCAATTCATTTGTATGATTTCCAGCAAGTTTCCACAGAAATGAATTCATTCTAAGTACGTTTTGGTTTATTTTTAAGGACTATTGTTCTTAAATCAATTGCCTTTAATCAATAAGGTGGACTAGTGACCTCCTGGGAGTAGCCTGCCTCTCTAACTGAATGCCTGCTGTGATAGGCCTCAGCCCCTGTGACCCTGAACACAATGAGGCAAATCCAGAACAGCTGATAAATGAGTGAAGGATTCTGTCAATAGTGCCAGAAGAGGTTATACAACTTTCTGCATAATAATTTTCATCATTTGTGTTATGTGCAACTGTCTATAAAACATGAAAAAGTCCAAAATACAACATCATGAGACAAACATGACTATTCTGAAAACATCTGAGACAGTTCGACTGAGTCATCGTTGTTTTTATTTTTGACCACAAAGTTTTTATTTTGATCAGTTTTCTCCAGTAAAGGAGGAATCACTGAGGTAATGTAACTAAAAATATGAAACCACTTATTCACCAAGCTGCATTTTTTTCTCCTTCTTTTTACGAATGTTGAATTTTTAATTATAAAAATGTAATTTTTTTAATTATTTTCAAATAAAACGTTTTACCCGTTTATCCAACAAAGTTAAGTTTGTTGCAGTTCCTCAGACTGAAGAAGTCTTTTGGACGAAAGACGAAACGTTTCAATATAAAAAATCCGTCCGGAGGACCCGACTTAACTTTGCTGGATTTTTCTGCCTGGACTATTGAGCATGAATCAGGGTGTTCTACCCGTGTAGTTCTGAGTCCATTGTGGCCCATTTATCACATTAGGTTTTTCTTTTTTTTCCATTTAGGACATATGACCGCTCAAGTCATCTTTAGAGTTCAGTTTTATTATTAAAACTTTATTTTACCTGAGGGGAAAAAAAATCCATTCAGATTAAAAACCTCGGGGCAGCACAGTGGCGCAGTTGGTAGAGCTGTTGCCTCTTAGCGAGCAGGTCGCCCAGGTTCAAAACCCGGTCTAAGGACCTTTCTGGGTGGAGTTTGCATGTTCTCTCCGTGCATGCGTGGGGTTTCTCCGGGCATTCCGGTTTCCTCCCACAGACCAAAAACATGCATGTTAGACTGATTGGTAACTGTAAATTGTGTGTCCATCATGTTTTCTACACTGATTAATTTTTGCTTCAGACACAACTGTTGTTGTAACATCTCAAGGACTCTGAAGAGAGCGCTGAATTCATTGTAAATAAAATCTTTTACAATTAAATCAATAAAAAATCAATAAATTGTCTCTAGGTGTGAGTGAGAGAGTGAATGGTTGTTTGTCTCTATGACCCTGTGATGGACTGGAGACCTGTCCAGGGTGTCCCCCGCCTCTCGCACAGTGATAGCTGGACATGGACACCAGCGACTCCCGCAACCCGAAAAGGAAGAAGCGAGTAAAGATAATGGATGGATGGATGTCAAGCCAAATGAAAACGTGTGTTGATCTGTCACTTTTACTGCATCATTTATCTCCATTATTTGATGTGAAAACAATTACTCCTCAAATTTATACTAATTATTTGACACAAAAAGTAGCTGAATGAAGATGAAAGATATGTAATCAATAGTTTGATCAATATTTCTACATTATGTTCTGCTGTTTGTGGTCTGTCCTTTTGTTATGGTTTAGGTGTAAACTTTATTTCATCTTGAGGTGTTTATCTTTAACCAATTACACTGTGATACGTCTGCTGGTAATAACACGATGAATTCAATGCAAAGCTGAGCACCTAAACACTGAAGGGCAGCAGGAAGACGACAAAGAATAATTATAACTTCTGCATTGATGCATAGGAAATATTTAAGAATGGCCAAACAAACCCCAAACAGATTAGTTTCATTCTCATACCTGTGCATTGCGAGCTGTTTCATTTTTGAAAATAAGCCTCTAGAGGAGTGTGGAAAAAAGCACTCTGTTGCAGATGTGCTCAGTTGGTGGCATTTACCTGACATTTGAAACTTTATATAAAGCTGTGCGTTTGACTGAAGAAGTTAGGCTCGCAAAACTCAAAACATCCAACAGAAATTGGCCACTTTTATGTTGATAATACATTAAAAGATTAAAAAGGTAGCGAATATCTCAACAAACTACGATTAAAAACTAACCAAAAAAGTAAACAAATAAATAATAATCTGAAAAATTTATTCTATTTATGTATGGATGGATGGATGTATGGATGTATGTATGTATGGATAGAAAATTTTAGTCGCTTAACAAGTCTTTTTTTCTGAGATGGGGGTGCTTTTTACGACAGGGATACATTTTTCGGCAGAACACCGGAACACAAATTCCGTAAAAATAAACAAACCACAAAATAAATGCATTTGTCAGCCATTCTTGATGAAAATAACTATCTAAACTCTGCCTAAACCTAGTGAGTTTAAATTAATCCAGATTAAAAAAAGGGCCACAACATGAGTGAACGCTGCTGGATTATGTAATAAATTGAAGCTACTGTTGCACTCACCTTTCGTACAAGCGAATATATTGGATGAATTTTGATTATCGACACAAAAATGTCTCAGACTATGTTGGCGTAATACAACGGAATAACAAAATAAAAGTGTGGTTTTAAAAGGTATGCAAATGTGTCGGTGACACAGGCAATCAAAAGTCAGCCACTGACTCAGCTAGTTACGTTACGACACCGTCGTTAGTCGCAGTGTTCCCGTTAATATGTCCAAACGCGAGAGTTCGGTAGCGAAAAAAAGGGTCAAACTTTAACCATTTTATTTATTTTTAGACATTTTACATAAGTGTAGCTAGAACAGCTGTTACATAATCCGCATCTATTCACTAACATCGGCCGAACGCAGCAGGCCCGACGAATCCCCGAGCTCACCAGTTCGTCATGTCCAGAAAGAAGGCGCATCCGGCCGGGTTCAACTGAAAACCGAGCAGCCTCTGGAAGTCCGATATTAAGATATCCTTGTCCGTTGTGCCCATGCAGCTGAATTTCTGCATGAGCTCCTGATCCAGGTCCAGGTCCAGGTCCATGCCCTCCATGAGACGGGATTCGATCTGGCAGATACACACACACACACGGGAGAGGGGAGAAGGGGGGGACTAGGACAAATTTACACCGAGGCCTCGACTTGTCATAACAAAAACTCGACAACAGAACCGAGCGCGCATGTCACGTGACCTGACTGACCCCCCCCCCCCCCAACCCCCCCCGTGGGTCTGTTTGGAACAGGTGTCAGGCTTCCTTATCGGGG